CTCTCCATAGCAGTGGGACTGGCTGGATATTTTCATCATCCTTAATGTTGTATATCTCCATTTTGGAAAAAGTATCCTAGGAAAATGAAGCGCTGTCACAGAGTTCAGTCATTCTCTGCGACAGAAAGAAATGACCTACGAATTATTGATTTCACTGCATTGGTTACTCAGAACTGTGGCACGTGTTCTCGGGAGCTTTGTCAGACCCTAAGCAAAAGTGGCAGGTTTGTGGTTAACTGCATCATGTGCAGTAATATGCTGAGTGTCATGTAGTCATGACCAGCTTGTTTTCATTGCTAATTCCAGGGAAGGAAAAAAAAAAACTGATGCTTTAAGCACAACCCACATGTGCCAACTGTACAGATGATTTCCAGCAAGATGACAAACGTCAGCGTTGTCAGGCACTGCGGGTGAAAATGCTTGTAGAGTGATCTGTGAGGGTGGCTACTACTTTCTGCTGTCTACATAATAAACTGCAGGACTGTATTTGGGAGATTTCTATTACCGAAGATTTTTTCCAATGTCAAAAACACTTAGGGCTTAGGCTTTCCATACAACAAGAGGAGCTATATTTCCTTGCTATTAGCCTGGAATAAGATGCACTGAACGTGTTTTTTGAACATCATAATTAGTTTATTGTACTCTAAAGGATTTTTCTGTTTGTTCCTTTTAGCTATGTTGGTATATTGAATTATATTTTGTATGGGTTTTCTTTTTTTCTTTTACATCTTTTGAAATCCACAGCTGACAAGACACAGAGGGTAATTAAAAATATGTTCGCAGCAAAGCTTTTGATACTTGCTATTTAGTTTGCCGTTATCTAAGCGTAAGCTGCTCATATGTTACATCCTTAAAAGAACTCTATGAAAACAGACTGAATTATTTTAGCTATGTTGTTAGATTACGTCCTTGAGTAGATCAGATAATGCAAACTGACATGTTAATGCATAAGAATGCTGTATGCACAAGGAACAACTTCATATACTAGATTATATTACAATGCCACATTGAAAGTGGAACATCAAATTAGGCTCTTACTTGTAAATGAATCACTGTGAAGCACTGAAACTAAATGTGTTTAGAAAAGAAAACGCAAGCATTCAGTTTGTTAATTCTCCCGCAGAGAAACTTTCAAAGACCAGTATGAGGAACTTAACCACCTTCATTCATTCACACACACAATCTGCTGTATGACCCCCGCTGCCGCGTCCATTATCTTGGTGGTTTGAGGCTCCGCTGTAAACATAAGTCTAATGGCCCGGGCCCTTTGATGTTGTCTTTTCCCTTTATGACCTGTCCAGCCTTGTCCAGCTGCGCACACAGACTTATACCAGCTGGCGCTCAGCCAAGGATAACTGTCATTCAGTTTTAGTCGTGATCATGTTGCTACACTTTTAATCTCCCAGTGGTGTTGTGGCTTTTTGACATTCGGCTGCTGTGCTTGTCTCACTGTCTGGATTGTTTTAGTCACCCGTAACTATGTACAGCTTCACATCCCCCACCTACATCTACCAACACCCGTTCTCGCCTTTTTACTGGTGTTTATCTTAGATGTGGATGTTCCTCTCTCACATTTCTTTCCACTTTATTTTCCTTTCTGCCGTCTACTTTCTCTTTAGGCACATCCCCCCCCCATTAGATGTTCACAGCTCCGATCAGGATTTACTCACTAATGGATCGGTGTGTTTACACTGGCTTTGGGAAGCAGTGATAGTGCCTGTAAAGTAATCCCACAACTGTTTACAGTCATCTCTTTGGCTATTTCTGCTTCGTTATCTCCGCCATTTGCTACTTAGGTGTGCTTGCACATGCATCTCTATTTATATACTGTTTGTGTGAATGTAAACAGTAGTAAAACCAGGGATTGTTAAGACAATTACAGACAATTAATTTTTGCTCTAGCAAAATAGATGTATTGTAATTCTACATGTCAATCACTCAACTCTAATATTTTGTACTCATTTCATGTACTTCTGTGACATAATACTACAAGAGTCCCCCTAAATATAGATAAATATTTTATCATCAATGTTGAACTATTGTTGACAGGATCTTGCAAAAGTATTTATAGCCCTTGAACTTTTTCAGGATTCGTCTCGCTACAATCACAAAATCCTTTACATTTTCTTTGGGATTTTACATAATGAAATGGCACAACAAATAATTGGTAACTGTGACAGAAAAGAAGATACAAAAATTACAAATTCATGTCAGCCCTCCTGACTCAGCAATTTCTAGAACAATAATTACAGCTGCAAGTCTTTTCAAGTATGTCTCTACCAACTTTGCGCATCTGAAGGCAAAATGTTTTTTCCCCTTTTTTAGGAAATAACTCAAGCTTAGTTGGATGTAGAGCATCTGTGAACAACAGTTCTCAAGTTAATCCCTTTTCAGTTGTATAAACATGCTTTGTCTGCTCTAAATCATTCCATTGTGACTCTGGTTGTATGTTTGTGGTTGCTGTCATGATAGAAATTAAAATTCCCCTGTGTTTTTAAGTTATTTACTGCCTTAAGCAGATTTTTTTTTCTTTTTTTGTTCCAGCATTACCTGCAATTTAAGTCTGTGCATTTTCCCATGAACTGAATACAGTTCCACCGACTGAGAATGTCACACGTTTCTGAGTTGGGTTTTACATTTTTTAGAAACTTCCCTCATTGCGAGTTTCTGGCGTCACATTGGCCCAACCAAAAATGTTTAAGTAGAAAAGATGCATTCCAAGGCAATTAAATTTCAATTGTTTTTGTAAAGAGGATAACTTTCATTTTGAGCAGCCAACATTTGGAGAGCTTTTGCGATGTGATATTTTTTTTTTTTCTTATTTATTGGACCCCTTCCTGGATGAACTGTGACGAAAGATTAAACATATGTTGTGCTGAGCATAACATGCTGGGTAAAGCAAGCCAGCTGTGGTCATCTCTACATGTACTACTATTTTGAGATGTTTTAGCTATTTAATTTTGCTGTCTGCTCCCAGTGATTTGTACATAATGTGCATTACATCATGGGGAATGGTTCTCGATGCCCGCTTATAATTATGATATGATATCATACTATTTTTTAGTGTGGTTGTGCATTTGGACTACCACAGGTAAAAAGAAACCCCACTGATATCCACTCGTGAAAGTTGAGCCTCGTTGACCAACACGTACCCCCAACCACACACACACACACACGCAGCAGGAGAGCTATAAACACTTGTTAGCAGTTATTAATGCCGCTACGGTCCGTCTCCTCAGAGGCACCTGACACGCTCTCAACTGGACATCTGACCCTTGTGGTTCTGTCTGGAGAGTTTGACCCTTACTCATAGTTAGATCACGCTTACAGACTGCTGCTGAGACTAAAATAAGAAAAATTACCTCAATTACTATTTAAGTTCAGTGATTAGGTTTCAATATTCTGCTATGTTTGAACTTTTAGGTCACCAGCTGATTATCAATTAAATAGCTGAGTTTTTATTAACATAAAAAAAATTACAAAACACTTAAATAATTCAAATGAAATGTTCTGTTTACGTATACCAATGACAATTCTTCAGATTAAATTTCATGATTTTCACTCCAGTTCCGGAACTTACTTGTGCCACGGTATTTGAAATGTTATGAAATGAATGGTATTCCTTTTGAAAGGCAGCCATAATTTAAATTGATTTGCAAAAAGTTCTCTCAGTGTTGTGAGAGAACTCATGATATACACTCACTGCCTGGTTTAAATGGTGAATAGAAACTGTAACCCAGCCAATCACAAGATGTATCCTCAGTTGAAACAATTGTACATCGATTATGCACCTCAGTCAATCTGAGTGTTGCTGCTAACCATATCCATCTCTTGATAACCAGAGTGTGCCCAGTTTCATAATGTACCACAAAGCTCAAACTGTCTCAGATCGATTTCTTGAACATGAACAGTGAACTCCAATCCCCTCCACAGTCACCAGATCTTTATCCAAAGGAGCGCCTTTGGGAGTTAGTGCAATGATAAATGCATGATGGTCTCACATCAACATAGACTCTCGGGAATATTTCCTACGCTTTGGGATATATTTGTCATCAATGCAATTCTGAAGGTCAAAAGGGATGCACGTGGCCAGTTAGTAAAAGACGTAATATATAGAGAAAGATCTTAGTGCAGCCGGTTCAAAAGAAGCTTTAACAAAATCAAATAAAATTCTTGATATCATTTGACCTCCACAAAAGCCTGATTGCAACCCAATAAACATTGCAATTTACTGAATTTACATGCTTGTTTTATGCCTGCATGCTTGGCCATGTATTTCAACAGCCTGTCAAATACGTAGCTAAACATGCATGATAGGTTTGAAACAGTACGGGTACATTCGGATGAGGTCAGACATTTAGCCGCTTGAACCATGCATCTGGGGTCAGCGGGAGGTGCAAAAAAAGCTTTAAGAGAGAGCACTTGGGGATTGTGCAATTTATTTCTTCCGACTCAAGCATGAACTGCACTGTTGGAAACTGAGAAACAGTAGATTGAAGGGAGCTAAATAAACAGTTTATTTTAAGCCAGAAAATGTTCTTCATTCTTGTGTACATTTGCTTAAAAATACTCAGCACAAATGGAGGTTATAACAACAGAAATATTTGCTGATGTGTCAGCAGTAGCACAGGCTGGCTTTGGGCAAGCAGGGGGTAAAAGTTTTTGAGTTAGGATTTAGGATGTGGTTTTGACATACACTGCTAAATTGTTTATACCCTCTGGAGTTAAATCTGGATTTGTACTTCTATAAAGTGCTATTAATTTACTAAATATGCTTTGCAAGAAGCATAAAGCACCACATATAAGGTTTACAGTCACCCTTCCTTTGAATCATTCTCTCAAAATGGAAAATATGTAATTGAAGCACCCCAGGTGGTCTTCAGCAACTGCTGTTGTACAGTGATCATGCTCTCGTTCATGAAGTCCTTCAGGCTTGTCTTGAGTAAGTGATTGAGGAGCTGTGCATGTTTACTCAGTGGACTTGTGTTGTGTTGTTCCAGCTGGTCTGCAGGGGGTTGGGGGCCATGCAGCCAGAGCTGCGGAGGAGGGGAGCAGACGCGGCAGGTTCAGTGTGTCCAGAAAACCAGTCAAACCAACGCAGAGACCCTGGCAGATTCTCAGTGTCCACATTCACCCCCGGCAACGAGGCAAACCTGCAACACACACAGCTGCCCGCCAGTCTGGAGCGCTGGGCCATGGTCTCAGGTGAGTATGTAAAATATAACATTCACTGAGAAAGATTTTTTTGTTTTTTGACAGACGTCTGTGAATATAAAGAAATGTTCTTATACCAAAAAGCTTTAGTCAACATTTAAGGAATAATGTATGCACCTTAAAACCCTGATAAAAATAACATGACTGTTGTTGGATGAACCTACTTTCTTACATTTGTGATGACGACAAGCTCAGAAGAACTCCTATCTTTTGGTCACAGATAAAATCTATATCTGATTAAGTTTTCCATTTTATGCCACATGATCTTAAGTAGCACACTAAGTATGTTCATGCTGCTCTGCGATTGGCAGTGCTCACGCAAGTGTGGCCACGGTCTGAAGAAGAGGAGCGTGCTGTGTACGAGCAGCAACCCAAGTGCTCAGACTCACACGCTGCCTGACAGCAAGTGTGCAGGCCTGCAGAAACCTGCCACTCAAGAATCCTGCTTCATCAAACGCTGTCAGAAACAACGTAAGACCCAGTGGTTTGTCTCCACTTGGCAAGAGGTAAGGCAACAGTACAATGGCAATGATTTTAGAACATTCTTTAGAATGTGTTTGTTCACAAACTTTGTTCATTTTGTGCTGATGTTGTCTGCTGTTTCTCTCTGTGATTTGTTGTGGATGTTCAGTGTTCAGCAACATGTGGCCGGGGTTATCAGGCACGCTTCATCAAGTGTGCTGAAAAGGTGTGTATTGTATGCATTTAGTTTAGTGAGCAACAAAACTGGCACTGCCATGTTTAAGTTCACACTCGCCATAAACATTATTGAAAATGACCCTGCTTGGATATCACTTTTCATAACAAAGGACACTGCAGGAAAGTACAGAGAACTTACTGCCAAAAAGTGCCACCATGTTCCCAAGCCCAAAGTGGAACTCCAAAGGCCCTGCATCCTGGCTGAGTGTCCTACCCGCACTACTCCACCACTCTACCGATGGAGGACGCCTCATCACCTCTATCCACCTCAGCCTCTCCCTCAAGCTGCACCATCACCAGAGTGGGTCTCATCTCCTTGGTCTCAGGTAAGATGACATGTAGATTAGAAACGGACTGATCAGAATTTGGTATCCAAATTTTGATTTGCTTATATGGAAGATTGTCTTAAATTAGCTAACCCCAAGTCTCCTTCAGTCAGTAACAGAGCACTCTCTGAAGAGTAGAACTTGGCGTTGTTTGCATATTGGTGTTCACTGATTTGAAAAAGATCAGAATTTTCTTTGAAATCTTGTGATCAGTTGGTCATTAATCAGGGCTGACTTACTCAGGATCCAATTTGGTGAATCTCTAGTATAAATATGTTTTGCAAATGAGCAGTTGATGATTGACAAGAGACAAGACAGTAAAAGCCTTGTACTTGGTGCAATTGTCCACTTTGTGTTCATTTTAAGGGACTTCTTTTCTTACACAGTGCTCAGTAACATGTGGAGGAGGAGTGCAAGTCAGGACAGTGCAGTGTCAGATCCAGGGAAAGCCTGCTATTGGCTGCGTTCTCCATCTTCGACCCTCATCGTCTCAGGCCTGCAACACAAACTTCTGCCCACAACCAGAGAAAAAAGGTACCGAAGCCCTAATTTGTTAACCTTCCCTAAAATGTGACGAAAACGTTGAACAATTTGTGTTCTTGTTTTGTGTTTTCCACAGATCTGGCTTGTAGGGATTACTTCAATTGGTGCCATCTTGTGCCTCAGCATGGAGTCTGCAACCACAAGTTCTATGGCAAGCAATGCTGCCACTCCTGTTCAAATTCCAACCTATAACCATTCAAAGCAACTGTCGGTAGTATACATGTAGCTGAATAGTCAACGGACTATATTGATGCCCTTGCTTGAAAAGATATGTTTTTGTCATAAGCATGCGGCAAGCACTGAAAAAGGTTTAAACACGCAAGAGATGTTGTGGCTTTGGTTCTCTCTGTGATGCCAGACATCTGAATATCTGATTCTGACAGAAAAACTGGAATGCATTGGAGAACAGAATTCTGAGAAGGAAATATTAAGATGCAAGCTAATAGGAGAGATGGTTTCTACCTAGAAGATTCACCATCCCCTGGACAAAAAGCAACAAGATGAGGTTTTTATACACTGCAAGGCATCAACAAGTGTTATGGAGTCTTTCTTTAATGACTTGGGAAATACACAAGGTGTTAAGAGGAAGAAAAAAGAATGTTTCAAGGATGCATTTACAATTAAAAATGTAGCCAAATACTTACATGAAAATATTCTGTGAAAAGTTAGAATTTCTGGAGACAAGTATCTTTGAAACCAAACGTCATACATTAGAGAGGTATTTTGAAAGAAGACATATTTGTGTGAACTGGCCTTCATACTTAGTGGTGCTACAAGTTGTCACTTTGATTTCACAGAAACAGTAATATCCTTTTCTAGGATTCAGGAAAGAATTGTGTCACATGTGTACAGTATTGTTTGTTTTATTTATTTGCTTTACAATACAGCATTGCTGAAAGACTGTATTATTAAGCTCTATACACACTCTTTTCACAATACCTAAAGCCGTATACTTTCATGTGTTTTGTCACATACTGACCAAACAACAACTTTAAGCTTTTCATTATATCCTAACTTGTGTTTAACATGAACAATTAAGTTAAATCTTCAATGGTAGCTTTGTTGGCATATTATTTAAATTGTCTCGTGACAGTTGATGTGTCTTAAATAAGGCACAGCAATGCATTACATATTACTATGGTCTGAAAGCAATCAGGCAATAGTTAATGATCTGGCTGCCTGACCTTTTGCATTTAAAATGAAATAACATCAACAGTTTTGTGCCATAACATGAGGTCTGATGTCATCCTGTTTAGCTGAAAGTGGGACTGAATGTATTCCTACAGGGAGTATAAACTTCGAATCTCTAAGTGGATATAGATGCAATGTGGAGAAAACTCAGGAGAGAAATGTGAGCTCTTTAGTTATATTTCTTTGGCTCACGTTTTAAACACAGCAGGGTGTTGTCACCTTGCCCTCATAATGGGTTGAAGTCTTTGTCTGTTTTTATCTTCGTCCCAGGGGCTACACTGTTGTTTTGTACTTCATAGTTTAATACTCTGCTTTTACCAGTTGGTTTCGACAATTGTATGTTAAGTTTGTAAAGAAATAAACATGTTCTAACTCTCTCTTTGTCTCTTTAAATTTTGAATTCCTGCAATTCACTGTATTTGTTGTGTGTGGCGCACGTTGAACATATTTACAGCCTTGTGTTATCTCGTTTTGCTTTGAAATACATAAATTACATGCACACACATTCAGTTAATGCAAGGATTTTTTTTCCCCATGGTCTTTATTTTTTGATCAGCTGATGAACAGCATACTTGACTTTAAATGCAGTTTTGAGTCATTTGCCTACTCTGATTTTTGTCTCTTGAGATTTTAATCAGCAGTGGATGTTTAATATAATATATCCTGCTATTGCTTTAGGCTGAGGCAGACAGTGTGAGGAACAGTGTGCTGACTGATTAGGGTCTTCCAAAATCATACAAAGCTTTAGAAATACGCCATTGGTCTGTGACATTTTTATATTAAAAATATGTTTTCTGGTACCACTGGTTTAAGCCTCTTGATGGGACTCAAACAATGTAATACTGGGGAAGAAATTTCCATACCAGAGTTTGTGTTCTCCAGCAAACCCTGAAACTAGGACAGTCCTAATCCTCAGATCTAGTTTTCAGTGAGGTGGCTTGGAGGCATCCAAGCCAAGACTCTGACTAACAGAGATGCCAATGTGGTTTAGGGAATTTCAGCACCTATGAGATATTGTGTCTGGAGTGGACCCTGCTCTTTCCTCATTTCAGCTCCAGTCAGAGAAACGCAGACGGTTAAAACAAAATAGCCATTGTCATCAACCTGCAGTCACAGTTCTAAGGCCTTTAGAAGAAGAGCGAGGGAGGAAGTGGAGAAGTATGAGATGACAAAATGTAGAAAGAAACGGTGGAAGGGGAGATGGTGATGTTATAGATGAAGATGAATTAACCAGAAGGAGGCAACCTATGCACTAAAAAAAAGACAATTTTGTCTGTTCATCTGCTAAATTTTCTTTTGTGAAAAAAAAAGGGTTTTATTTAAAATTTGCTGACAAAGCAACACAACTCTCCAAAGCGTAATTCTCTGGCTAGCACGGCTATCGTTATTAAAACAGTTATCTCCAAATGCATTCCCTGGAGCAGGATGAAAAGTTGTAGCTATGATTGTCCTGTCCCATGTGTTTAAAATGTTTATTTGCCTGAACATTATTATTTTGAATAAGTTGGTCATGATAATGCAATCATCTCCATCTTAGAGAATATAGACTACTTGAACAACCTGAGACTTCCAAAACGCTTAAAGTCCTAAATTCATCGTATTCCATGTCAGACGTATTGATAGCTTAACGGGATCAAACAAAGAGTCTCTGGATTATTATATCTATATTTAGCCTTTCTGTTATCTGCTAAAGCAAGTCTCCTCTATACTGTAACCTGAAGGAAACACAGACATGTGTGGACGTGTCATAGAAAAAGCAGGGTCGTCTAATTAGCTTTGTGCTGCTTCCATCGGCTTCATCTTTAAACACTCTATTGGCTCTGAAAACAGCCAACTTTGAGGTTTAGCTGGTGGGGTTTTCACACTGTTGTTGTTGTATCGTGTGCTCACTGATCGGAAAAGTGCCGATTTACCTGGGGCATCCAATTCTTTCAGCAGCTAATTTGTAGAACTTTTTACCCTTAGTTAAATATCACTTATGTAATTCCTTAACCTTTATGAAAGTATTTCTTTCGACTCTTCTTATGCTGGAACTGTTCTTTTCATAATCAGCAAAAGGAAGACAAATAAAAAACAAACCACCCAAAAAGAAAGAGATGAGAAGGCTGAAGCGTTTGTGTTTACTAAGAGATAGTGATCAGATAAAGGCTTCCTGTGGGTAACAAAGCTGACAGACACCAACCAGGCCACATTCAAAATGTTACCTTACTCATGTTAGGTAGCACAACAGATTATCTGTGAGAGACAGACGGGAAGATAGGAAGCTTACACAGCACTCACCTTTCCACTTGAAAGAAGCTGGACTATCTCTAACAGCATCTGTTTGGAGAGAGAGGTGGCTCTTTAGCCTCCAGGCTACACTCAGGCGGTTCATCTGAAGTTACAGGCTAATTATCATTCCATCAGGATGCACCTACAGCAAACCTGACAAACCTTCCACTCAAAACTTTAAGCAGAAAAAGCAACAGTCGGGAGAAAAAACAATGTGTCCCTTTATTTCTAAAATATGATAAACTCACATCCTAAATGAGTTAATTTAGGGAAGTATTAGAAAATCTTAGTCTCAAAGGCAAAACTGTGCTGATGCCAATTTCTTTTTGAAATATGTCACTACCCTAACCTCAAAGTTTGGGATTTGTCCATGCTAATACCCCTACAAATGCAGTAGTAGCAGTGATTGCATAGTGTCAATGAAAATCTACATATGGCAGGGTTACAAAGACATGACTCACTTTCACAGACAAAGTGGTCTTGCCATTTTCTCCACATTACCTGCGTGAGTTGCACGTGAAAAAACAAAAAATGTTAGATTCACTTAATCTAGCTAGTCTGTGTGAAGCTTAGCAATATGCTCTGATTTTAATCTTTGCATTATGAGCAGCTGATATCAAAACCCCAGGGATGGATGTTGATGAAATCAGCCTTTTGTACCATCCTTTGAAGACCGTTACCAGAACTGAAATTGAGGTGTCCTTTGTTTTCTTCATGCAACTTCTCCCATCTGTTTTCCCCCCAGGTACCACTCAACAGTATTCATAACATTGAGAACATATCTCCCAGACAGTTAGATGCTGTACAGTACATCTAAATCAAATACTGTGGGAAATGGCTGTGGGAAATGTCTGGACCTGATTTTAAAACCCCCCAAAAAAGACAAGGGATCATGAATCAAATTGTCTTTAGTCTTTGTGGGAAGGAAAAATTATGCAAAATAAGAATGCCATAGACCTTATATTATAGTTGTTTAGTAACTAGAAATTACCTTCAGCTAGGCTTGTTTGCACATCTAAACACAAAGTGTTAGTCTTTCATTATAATTCCATGCAATAATAGATCCTGTGTGTTTAGAAAGAGAGGTTGAGAGTGAGAGAAGGGCGAAGGCAATGCAATATCACCCTCTAATGGCAAAACAACACATTTCAAATCAAAGGAACAATACATGGAACAAAATATGATTTAGAAATGATCATGAATAAACCAGAAGGCAACATAAAGGTGACTTGATTCTAATTTTTATGAAGCACAATGTTGGGGGCAAAAAGAAGGCTGTATTTTCTGAGAAGACTAAGAAGTGCCAGTCTTTTTGGGTAAATCTGTTGTTCTGCAACCGCTCCACGACAGTTTCCTCACCCAGAGTATCCTTTTGGGATTTGGTAGCAGCTCTATAGACAAAGAACAAGACTGAATAAAGAACAAACCAAGAATTGTCTTAAAAGTCTGCTGCCTGTAAAAGACATACCACATTTTTTCTGCCATGCTCACAATCTTTTCAACGTGTGTTCTTCTGGTTTATGCTTAATGTCACAATAGTCAAAAACTTTTTTTCCCCCAGAGCCATCTTCACAATGAAATTTGAACAAATAAAAACAATACCAATATGCTGTAATTACAGGGCCAAACAATTCTGTATGCATGTTCTAGATGTTCTTTAGAACACAATGAGAATTAAAGCCGCAAGCGGCGTCGGGCAGCCCTCACAGCTCAGCGCCGCTCCGGCCTATCGGCGACAACGAGGGTTCCAGCACCGCCGGGTGCTGGCCACCGCAGACGTTCTCACGCAGTTCCTGCGCCTGTCCGCCAGGCGATACAAATACAGTATCAGGTTAGGGCACTGTCTATGACATTAGCATTTCACTGCCCCCCACTAGTGTACTGCCATAGGCAGTGCAATAAGATTAGCCAGCATTATCTTTTTCTCTCAGGCAGAGTATTAGCATTAGCCTTTTCCCTTAAATAAAATATTAGCTATTTCTCTCACATATTAGCCATGTATAGTATACTGAATAGAGTAAGTCAATTAGACAACATGCAAGTGATGCCCCACATGTTACTGGCAGTGTTCACACTGACATTAACATTTTGGCTAATTTTGGCTTATACACTACTTTTAACATACTTAATGGTGTAAGTCCATGTTAGTCAACATGCTTGTGACTCTCCACATTCTATTGATTACATTGCAGCTTTCTTTGGCATTGATGCAAATTTTTAGCATCAGAACGCTGGGTCCAAACCGATGGGCACACTTTGGCAGGCCCCTGTTAAATTTCTTAAGGAATTTTCAGTGCAATTTTACACCGTAATATTACATTTTACACTGTAATTACAATGTAATATTACACTGTAATATGTAATATTACATATTATTACAGTATAATATGTAATATACTGTAATATGTGCAATATTACACGTTGTAATATCACACTATTTCACTGTGTAATATTACACTAGTATAATATAGTGTAATATATTGTATATATTACAATATATACTGCTCAAAAAAATAAAGGGAACACTCAAACAACACAATATAACTCCAAGTGTCAGGATCTGTGTTTCTTTTGTTGTTTCCTTTCTCCTCCCTGGAACTTCTGCTAGTCTCCGTGGCCTCCACCAGAGGTCGCCTGGAGACTGAGCCCTGGAGTTTGGCCCTGCCAACCCCATGGACGCACCTGTGGTGGATTTGGGAGGCGCGGCACTTCGCTTCCTCGCCTGAGTGTTTGTTTACTTCGGTTACCCGTGTATTTCCGTTGCTTCTGACTGCGTGGTTGGCTCAGAAAACTAACAAGCCATCTCCTCCGTTGACCCTGACGCCCTGTCGCCACGTTCTGGATCTCCTGTCTGTCCGCCCTCCAACCAGTCTTTTTCCTCCGACGCCCAACCTGCAACCACAGTCCTCCACCAAGTAAGATCTTACCTGCTTACCTTGGAAAGACGCATCTGATGCCAGCCAGTTAATCTGTCCCTTCTCGTTGACAGTAAGACGAACCGGTCATCTGATCCAGTATTCACTCCCTTTCTCCCTTTCCCTGGTTACAATAAATCATTTTACATTCATCTCTGCTGCTCCTGATCGTTTTCTTGCATGTGGGTTAA